GCCTTTGAGGCACACCCGTTTAGACTGGCAATACCCACAAGGTTGGGCTGTGATCAGTCACGCTAGACTTCCCAATGTGGCATTTAAACAAACACATTGCTAGTGTACATTATATATAGATATAGTCTAGATATATATATATATTACACTATATTTCCAGACGAATCCTGATTGACAAAGCAGGCTGCCATGACTATGGTATACAGCTCGTTAAAACGTGACTATGGGGCAGGACGCCTTACAGAGGCCATTCCTTTCCCCAGATATCCCCAGATTGTCCTCGTTCGGACCACGTAGCAATGCAACAGACTTTCAATTGAATTTCCGCTGCTCCAACTGATTCCGCTGTGAAGGGAGAGGAAATGCTTGATTTGTAATATTTGCGTATCGCTGTTGCGCTTCGCCTGAGGCGAGAATCTGCAGCGTTCAAGAATGAGTGCGAGCGCTTGCGGGCAGACAGTGAGAAATGACAAAAGGTATGGCCTTCGTGCGAAGAATCGGAGGATTCTGGCCTCTGGCCTGCAACCCTAAAACATCAGTGAATCAAAGGCGGCGGCGGCGGCTTTGATTCCTTTGTAAGCCATGCCACCTATGACTGACCGGTAATGTAATGTAACCTTTACACTCCACCACACTGTAACTAATTATAGTCCAATACGCCTCATTGTTGCCTTGCGCATGGTCTCAAGCACCTGCAGGGAAGATTCAATCAACTGCAACTCTCCGCTATAAAATGCTATAAAGTATGCGTAGATTTGACAACTGCTGAGATTGTTTCGATGCAGACTACGGCAGGGAACGCTGCAGTGCTGCAGTGATCTGGCTCAAATACGAACTCTTGTGTTTGCAAAGCGGCACTTGGGCTCAAGGTGACCTCCTGTTGTGTTTTGTCAACTTTCCGTCGAAGAATGTGCACACCCTTGAAAACTTCACGCACACACATGCGCACGACTAACATCTATTGAAGCTTTTCTTGCTTTACTGAGAGAGAGTGACATCCAAAACCTTGCATACATAGCATCGGGCAGCGGGGCCCCCAGCTGGCCCTTGATATCTCCTGACTGTGCCAACCAAGGTCTCAAAAAGATGTCACAGGTGCATGCAGCCATTGAGCAGCAGTTGCATGACGCACTGCAACCTTTGGACAACTTGCAGGTGGGATGAATATTGCACAGCAAGCTTGACAAGAGCGTATGTGCTGTCCCCCCTACAAGAAAAGCACCCCCTGAACTTTGCGATCCTTGGTTTTGGACTATTATCAAAAGAAATCCAATCAGTTGACAGACTCTTTGGCTGAGTGGGTGCTAGTCTTTACAAACTTTATAGCATACCTCGGCAGTGTTCCAAATTTGTGGTCCTACTTGGCAGCGTCGGCTCAGGCATGCGATACCATTGGGGGAATTTCAGTTGCTGTATTGTGCTTGTTGGCTTTGGCCACTGGGCAGAAGTGAGATTTCACTTATATAAATGCTGAGCCCTCTGGGCTGCAAACACACCTGTTGAGAAAAGACGGTCAATAGTGCTGATTAGAATCATTGGATGTGAGTATTTTTGGTGAGTCTTGGTGAGTTCGCGGTGGCCAATGGGACTCAGGCCGTGTGCTTCTTTGGCTACCGAATCTACAAGGTGTTATTTCGTACCCTCATCGTTCGCCCATTAGAGTGCCACGCTAGTAGTAACAAGTGCATCGCTAGTAGTAACAAGTGCCTTACTAGTAGAAACAAGAAGCTATTAGTTAATTTAATTCTAATTATTCTAACTTGTTACTACTAGTAAGGCACTTGTTACTACTAGCGATGCACTTGTTCCTAGAAGCTTCGTTCGCCCATTAGAGTTTTCAAACTTCAGCTTCCGGTCAATTTTTGATTCCTGTCAGTTGGCCTTCGCAGTCTTTGCCTTCATTGTGGGATTTGGCTTCGAAGCTGCAGTTGGCTCTGCATGGATTGCCCAGGGCAACGAGGAGGGTCTCACTGAGAAGGCTGGGCCGAAGACATTCGACATCATACGGCACTACATGATGAGAATCCTGTTGGCTCATCATAAATTAAGTTGTACCGCTTGTCCACCTTGACAAATTGTTAGGTCATTGTCCTTGTGTGCTCCATCCTTTGGGGTACGCTTTTCCTTGCTGCTCGGAAGCGAGCACATAATTTATATGATTTCCCGGTGTGCTTTGGACAAAGCCACCTCAAGCACCTTTTGGGAAACTTTCATGGCAAACTTCTGTGAAAATCAATCTCTTTACTGTACCAATGAAGCGTCTATACCAAAGGCAGCTGTCCATTTTAAGACTTGCCCTCAGCAAGCAGCCCAGGTGTTGGCTCGCAGATACCAAGAGAATGTTGAAAAGATCATAGGTTTTGTCTTTGGCGCTTGCCTTGGCCTTGCGGTCACCATAGCTGTGCTCTACATCCTCCAAGCGCGGCTTTTCTACGAATTAGGCATGCACCCAGAGCATGGCACATGACTCATGACCTTAGTCCTTTGCATATTCCGGATGATGAAGGCATGCGTGATGCGTCGACATGGCCTCATATGCCTCATACATTACATGTTCACAATCGGTGACACAGTGCGAGAGCCTGTGGCATAGCGAAGTCACGTCCCGAGAAACAAAGGCCATTGGACAAAGCTCTTGGGACAAAGGGTCAGGGCTGGGAGAATTTTGCAGGCAGGGTTTGAAGTTTCATTGCCGTTCTTTTTGAGATTTTGATCTTTTTGAGCTAGGCTCTCAATTAGTGAACGTGACGCATGTTCAGCCAGAGTGGTCATATCAACATGCATGTTTTGCTCGAAATGTGATAAAACACACTAACGTGAGGGACATTGAGAACGATAATGCAATCACTAAATCCTGATGACCTGCAACTCCACAAATATCGACCGTTGATCATCTAACTTATTACTTATCACTATAAAACACTTTCTTGTACATATGCTGGCCACTAGCGGCTATAGTTACTTTTCGTTTTCCATGACTCCATGATTCCATAACACAGCTGGGCACATTGCAAATTTCCTGCTTTGCACAGGCATCACGCTGGGCGTTCCAATTGCTTTGCTAACAGGCTACCTGTGCAGGATGCTGCCGCAAGAGTCTGGTGCAAGCACGGGTTGTCGCGTTTGAATTCACAAGCACGGTCGGCGCAATTCACAAGTTGAAGGACTTGGGTGAAGCACCTGGTCATGCTTGTCACAGCTTTTGTGGGCGCAGCTGCAGCCTGGCGTTGGGGCAAAGCCTTGCTAGGATGCACGCAGGTGGGGCGAATGCTGTTCCACCTTTACACATCCCATCCCTTTCCAACGGAATAGTAACAAAGGGCATCGCTACTAGGAGCAAGGACGCTACTAGGGGCTCCTGGCCTTACTACTAGGAGCAAGAAGCTACTAGGAGCAATCTACTACAAGTATGATTTTATGAAATTTTATCAACTACTGATACCATATGCTGTTCTGGACTTTGGACTCGGGGATTCACAGAAACATGGTGATGCATGATGGACACATGCAAATTCACAGGCCAACTCCGACCTCCTGGAGAATCACATCTTCAATTTGGCAATTTTCATAGGCAACGATTTGTTGCAAATCGGGTGTCATCAGGCCGCAGATACTGGTACTAATCCAACATTATGCTCCAACCGGCCTTTGACTTTGCCAGGCTTCAGACACCTCAGAATCTTTCTGTAACTGCAACTCCAAGTTCTGTCTTTACGTGGGGTTTTGCAATTTCGGTATTACAACTCTAATTGGGTTAGTGTATAGCCGCATGCTGTGTACGAACTCCCAACTTGATTTGTGTGCGTGACCTGTCAGGCTTGGGCTTGATTGGCTTGGCTGTGCAGTTCTGCTTCCAACCGCACAAATCCGTGACAAAGTCTTCAGCACCAAGTGCCTGGTTCAGAAAGAAAATTGCATCCCCTATTTCAACATTTGCCAGGGACGGGATTTCAAGTCGTGCACCATGCAGTTGCAACACGTGCGCAATCTTTCAAAAGGGACCGTCAACTTGAAAAGGCAGGCATTCTTTGCACACAAGAACTCCGGGTACTTTGCGCGACTGGAATTGCGGAAAAAGACGTCCAGGTCCACGTGCCTAGAGTTGTTGTTGGGATGCTGGAGAGATCTCAGGCACAGCTCCTGCTGCAGAGCCATGAGATCGCTTGCTGGAAAGGGCTCGAGAGGTACGAGCTACTGTACACACTTCATGTTGGGCCAAGGTCCTGCTTCAGCAAAGCATCACGAAAGCTGGAAGACCGATACGGAACTTGAGAGATACACAAGACATCATATTACCGTAATACAGTATTTCCAAGGCGTTTGCGGAAGGGTTCATACTTGACTTGGCAGGCCATACTGCACTCTTTTTGGCACAGCGTCGCCCCCCAGATGTACAGAAGCTGCAGCGGGGAGACACTTGACAGGACCTGTCCAGACTGCTAGACACAAGGCTTGGGCTTTCGGAAGGGCATGCCTTCGGGAACGATGGCATCCTGTCCTGTTTATATTAATTCGGCCTGCAGTGGCTGCCACTTGGACTCAAAAGAAGTTTGGCTGGTGGCCAAAAGTGGCAAATGAAGTTTTCCAATCTTGGATTGTAGACCGATTGACATCAGCTGTCAGAAGCCTCTCAGGCGGATGGTAATGTGATCAGTCCGCAGTTGTGCAGCGCTCCATTCGTAGAATTGGCTCAGTAGCTGGTAGAATGACAAACAGGCCCCTTGAATCATTAAGCCTTGAATTAGAGGCTATTCAGATTGGGTTTGGTAGAGTTGTGGTTCGAACGTGTTTTTCTTCTTCACCACTTTCACCCTGCCAATAGTGTTTCGCTAGCGGTACTGCCTAGGTTCACATGGTGCAGCCCAAGCAGCGTTTGCAACTCTTGTTCATTCCAGCGTATAGTTGGACACATTGACAGCACGTTATGGAGGGCTCGTAGAGATAGAATGCGGTCAAAGATTGCAACTGACTGGTGACCCGCTGCTCGCACTGTTTGTGTGATGGCATATCTGCGCCTTCGATTGCCTCTAGCATTGACTGCTCCTTTGACCTGGGTTTGTTTTTCATGCAGGTGGAAGAATGTAGGGGCAGAATTTATGTTATGCAGTATTGCAGACAATCCAGTACCAGACATGCGTATGTAATCGTATGTATATGTACAATTGTGTACATTTGTATGATTATATAATATTCATATGTATAACGAAAACCTGCCAACAGGCTAGGCTGAAGTGCTAGATGGGCGAACGAAGTGAGTATTAGGGAGGGTGAACCCAGAGCCTGCTTGGGGAGAGAGCTCAAAAGGGATTGTCAAAATGCACCTCTATAAGAGCTTTTGTGATGCGAGTGATGCCAAAAGGTTCAACAGTGTATTTTTAGCATCACCAAGTGGCCATGACACCACTCCAGGGACAGCAGGAATCAGGAAGTCCATTTGGGTGTATGGACCGATGTAGGCGCGAGTCTTTAGACGATACTTGCTCAGCTGTCAAGACAACAACCTGCAAGCAGGATCAAGCAGGCGTGTCACCGCTTTAAAGACCCCAACCCAGAAGGCAACGTATGGTATCAGCAAAGGCCCGTTTTCTGTACAGAAAACACGTTGAAGAGCAATGTTTGCCCGCATGTTTCGTTCTAAAAGCAGTGAACGCGTAGAAGGCCATCTAAGCGATCCAAGAGACAGTGGGTCGAAACTCACCGTGACCAACGGGCAACGAAAAGGCCATGTGTGGCTGTAAAGGTACGGAGAAGAAAAGTGGCACCAATTGGGAACGCTAACTTCAGGCTGGTATTCTAAAATAGGGGGCCGTACTGAGTGGATAAAATTGGAGGGGTCAGTGCCTAGTGCCTGGACTTTATCTGTGTGCCAGCCTGCCAGCAACCTATCCAGGGGGTCTGTCCTCCAAAAAAATCAACCCAAGTAAGGAATGGATATTTGTTTGGGGGTGGATAAAATGGGGTCAGTGCATCAAAAACATCCAGAATAAACGCTCCAATGTTATCCACTCGGTAGTGGGAGTAGAAAAGGAAAGAAAAGATAGAACATCACTCGTTGGACGTTCGTTAGGTTTCCGCTCGTTAGATTTTCCGAACTCCATGGACGTCATGATCACAGAGAACCAAAAAATTGTCAGCGAAACTTGCCAACGGAACGTCAAAGCATCAGTCACCGCGGGCTTTCAACTGCTCCAACAGCTGGAAGCACTCTTGGTCAGCACCTTTCAGCTCTGGATCATTCTCAGTGGGACCCTGTGTTTCGACATGAGGAGTCTGAAAAATAGTGGTGGGGCCTCATACTCATCCAGGTTCATGTTATCGTCTTCCTCACCGGGATCCTGCACCAGGTCTTCCGTGAGATTCGCAGCCTGTGAAAAGGACACGTGTGAAACATGTGCGACCTTGATATTTTCCTTGGTACTGAGGTTGGGGAGATATACAAATGACAAGTTGTGGGATACGCTGAAATTAATCTTCTTCTGCTGCTTCTGCTAGGTCTGGAGAGCTTTCTAAAAAAATTGCTCAACGTCAGCGAATATAGAAAAAAAGGTGCGCTGACATCTGGACAAAACAATTTCAATGCAGAAGTTCCGTTCAACAAAGAAGCTGCTTCCCGGTCGCTCTGGGCATCGTAACCCTGATAAACTCCTGCTGGCATTCCTAAGTCCAGAGCGGCTGTCAAGGCCACAAAATACCGACCAAAATGTACAGTTCGACCAGCGCTGCGGGCCATGCAATCGACATTCTTTTGCAAGTGGTTGGATCCATTGATTCCAAACCAACCTCAACCACAACCACAACCAACCTTCTAAGGTTTGCAGACTTCCGCAACAATCCTTAGTTTTGCAGACCACCACAGAGCACATAGAGCGTTGGAAAAAAACCTGGGCCTGGGATCTTTTCTTTTTGTCTCGTTAGCATCTACTTTTGGGGGGGGGTTCCTCGATCCTATTCGTCTAGCTTGCTAACCTCAGGCCTTCTCGAAATTATCTATCTGCACTGGTTGTGTACTTTTTTTTGGGGGGGGGGCCTTATGTTGGCCCTCTGGCCTTCAAATTTATCCACCGGTTTTGGCTAAAAACCCGTCAGTCCCTGGAAATTATCCGGTACTGACCCCGGACGCCAGTACAACGGGGTATTTCTAAAGCAGCTGCAAAGAAATTACGTCGAAAGACTATGTCTTGTTCTTGTTCAGCTGTGAAGACAAGCAGGCATGTTTCGCCCTGAAGCGGGACACGACAACAATGACTTATCGACGCAGGAAGCTGCTTTTCTGGGTTGGCGCCCTTTTGCGGTGTGTTTGCAGGCCATCTTGAGGTAGCGCCAAATTCTTCCAGAAAGCACCTTAAGGGTGACTTTTTGTTGGTGCCCCTTTTGCGCCTTGTTTGAAGGCCGTCTCAGGGCAGAAATGGACAGGTCGCGGGTTGTAGCGATAAGACCCGTGACAAAGCACGACGTGGCAGATGCATCTTTGAGCATCTTCATTGAATCTTGCGAGCTGCTGCTTTAGATGAATGGCCGATGCAGGTCCAGGTGTGGAAAGACAGTCGGCCGTGTGTTCGACAAATCTAAATGCAGAGAGCCGAAAAAACATCCTTAAACCGCATTTCTGGGTTGGTGCGTTTTCGCACTTCGTTTGAGGACAATCTCGCAACAGAAATTTGAAAAAGGGCTGGAAAAGTGGTTTTTATTCTAAACTAAGCATGAGGACCAGAAAAGACCTTCAGGAGATGATCGGAGATGTTTTGTTGCTGCCTTTTTGGGCTTTGTTCGGAGGCCACTTCAGGGCAAAAAGAAGGCACCTCCAAAAAAAAGGTCGGGCTCTAGCAAAAGGATGGCGCGGCAGGTGCTTCTTCGAGTATTTCAAGTGAATCTTGCGATTGAAGAGGGTGTTATCAGGGGGGTCTGTGTCGGAGTGTTGGAGAATGTTGGAGACTGTTACATCGCTGGTTGGAGTTTTTGGGCGAAACACGTCTCTCTGAGTGTCTACGTCCCCTCACTTCTAAGTTTTTTTATGGTACATATATACTTACATACCAAGAGCGGAGACGGAAACGGAATGGGGGTGCCATCTGAGAAAACAATTGGATGACCGACGGTCGCTTGACCAAGATTGAATTGTTCCCTTTGCGCTTGAGGCCGCAGCCCTGGAGCTCAGACACAGAAGAGGCCTCAACTGCAGCCCCTGGGCCCTCACAGGATACTAGCGTGCGGATGCTACCACCGGCAGCCAGCTGTTTCGAAAGTGCGGGAGTTGTAAACGGCAAAGCGCTCAGCCGCGATAAGGCAAACCTGGGGCATATTTTGTGCGTCCACTTGTTGCAGAAGAAGCCAAGCTCACCGAGCTCCGTGTCCACGTCCTGATGGGTGGCTGGACAACCAAGAAATATATAGAAATATTATCTAAGAAGTTGACCGGAAAGGGGAAGAAGAGAGATTTCGCACGATTTTGTGGTGTCCAAGATTTGCCACCACAATCCGACTGCCAAAGGGAAAAAATACCGAGGCCCGTGGTCTGTTTGTGAGGCACCCATTTTCCCATGTGTAGGGCACAGGGGGGAAGGTAAGCAACAATTGATTCAGGATTTGTTTGAACATGGTTTCTTAGAACTACAGTATGTTGCCGCATCAGGGCTCAAGCCGGGCCATCTGTTCAACAATGGCTGCGCCTGACGAGCTCGTTGCTCTCAATGAACGCTTGGAAAAAACCAAGGAAGCACGTGGCATACGTGGTGGTCTAGGGCGGGTGAAGGGACAGCCAGGCTTGCAAGGCCCATGGGGCCAGGGTTTTTTTGCAGCTGCTAGGGCCAAGTGGGTTCCAGCTGGGGAAGACCCACTCTATCGTCGTTTCACCCGCGGTCCGGTCCTGGGCGCTGCAAACCAGGAAGAAGCAGAAATCCAAATCTGGCGAGCACATGCAGAAGCGGCACTGCTGGAAGCTGGCGGCCAGATGACATGGCAAAGACTTCGTGATGAGGTTGTAGAACGACGGCAGCAAGACTTTCCCGAAGGAGATATGCCAGACACCATGCTTTGGCCCTACTTGGCACTTGCTCATGTGCCTGAAGACTACCTTAGTGAAAAGGATGCTCTTGTGAGGCTGGCTAAAAAGCCGGCCTGATGCAAACAGGCCACCAGTGTCCAGGCACCGTGATCACATCACCAAAACACTTGGTCTTACGCGCTGCCGTTTACAAGAAAGTGTGATGGAGCAGCGGTATTGAACAGTGTATTTTTTGTTACTAGTAGCGTCCTTGTTACTACTAGTAAGGCACGTGTTACTAGAAGTAAGGCACTTGTTACTGGTAGCTGCTTGTTTCTACTAGTAAGGCACTTGTTACTAGAAGTAAGGCACTTGTTACTAGTAGCTTCTTGTTACTAGTAGCTTCTTGTTTCTACTAGTAAGGCACTTGTTACTACTAGCGATGCACCTGTTACTAGTAGCTTCTGCTGCCTCATCGTACCTTTACTGCGTGAATTCACCTAGCATAGCGATTCGTCGCCCCAGCCCAGTACCATTCCTCGACTGCCTAGGCGGCTTTGGCAGTGCTCGCCTGGCTGGATGGAGCCGCGCCACTCCGACGGATCAAAAGGAACTCCTTCAACGTTTGCGGCCTGAAGTCTAGCACTCAGAACTCAGAACGCTATTTATTTCATGTGACATCATGTGACAACATATTTTTTGAAGAAATTTCATGCGGTTTCACCAAAGCCATTCTTGTCCTGACATGTGGCAGCTTCTGCACTTCCTGTTTATGCTACATCAGATCGTGAGTGGGCGTGCCACATTGTCACATTCACTCCAGTGACTATTTGACAGCTCTGACCCACGTTCTCAGAAGAACCCTGAACTGAAATGGTAGAGCTGGCAGGATATCAAATAGCGTGCAACTGGTCTAGCACGCCCAGGCAACCTGTGAGATTTGTGAGTTGCTGTCAGGTCCAGTGCACTTTTGGACCCACTCCGCCGCAGGGGACGTGCCTCGACTCCACTTTTTGCTGCATGTTTGGAAGTTCGCCTCATTTGCTTTTCTCAGTAGTGTCCAGGCAAATCTTGGTCTCCGCATTTCCATCCCAGCAAGATTTGGATGCCTGTGGCAGTGGGTTGAAGGCCGCTCCAGTTGTCAATCACCAAAAGGGCTTTGTTGACTTGTGTGCTCACAGGTCCTGGTGATTCCCTTTGCCGGTTTACCAGTGGCAACCAAAAATCTGGTGACTGATGCTGGCTTTATCAAGAACGGGCTCCGGCTACACAATGTGTCCCTTAGAAGCAGCACCGCGCCGAAGGTGGCCTGCTGAGTATATTAACATTACAGAGATGTGTAGACACACGTCCGATATACTGTGTCATCCTCAGACATTTCTAGAAGAGCAGGTGGGTGCTCCTGGCCTAGCACAATATGGATAATTAATGTCGTACCCTTCAAGGTTTGCCGTGCAGCAATCGCTAAGGCATCACAACTCGTCAACGACGGCTGCTGCTGGGCTGATGTTGCACATGGGTGCGTTCTCTATTATGCTCCGGGGAGTCTAAAGGAGTGAAGGATCGAATTAATAGTAGTAACAAGTGCCACGCTACTAGTAACAGGTGCCTTACTAGTAGTAACAAGAAGCTGTTAGAATTAATAGCTGGAACTTTCCAATTACAACTTGTTGGGGCTTCTGCCATTTGCTTTCAAGTCACTTTACGCAGTCTAAGGAGCTTGAACCTTTAGCAAGGGCTTTTACTTTGCAAAAAGATGCAAAGAGTCATGGTGCGTCGATTTATGATCATTGTGTTCAGCTGCATTTTGCCCTCTAGTGACTCTAGTGGAGCTGCCCCAGATGCCCATAGACACAGACCCATGTGCAATCAGGTGTATATATATATATATATTATATATGCGTATATAAAAATAGGTGCACGCATATAATATTATATAGTATAATAGAATACCGCAGGCTTCAGAAGAAGTCAGATGTTGGGGAATCAGATCACGCCAACAAAAGCTGAGCGTGTAAACAGCAGCGATACAAGTCTTATATAAAGATATCGATATCAACACACTTTTCAGCTAGGCAAACGCACTGCGGTGGCAGCCATGGGCTTGTCATGTAGCTCCTGCCATTGTGAACAGGATATTGACGCTACGAAGATCCTCCAAAGTACTGCCGCTGTGTGCCCTACAGGGCCGGAAGAGTCACTTGCGGAGTATGTGGTTGACAGAACGATCCAAACGAAGCTGCTGGAGGTGGATTTTCAATTACCCGACGGCTCGAGGAGAACGATCTACTTTACGAGGCGACCACTGGGCTTGGACTTCAACAGGCAGGTGCCAATCACACTGAAGCACGTCAGGCCTGGAAGCCAGGCCAGTGACTTAGGCGTGGAGGAAGGTTGGCAGATCCGGTCTTTGCAGGGCTATGATGTGACAAATCTTCGCTTCCAGGAAGTCTATAGCTCACTGAGGGAGGCCTCTGAACACTTGTAGGATCATCAAGTCTTGGTGATAGAGTGCACGTGAATTGGCAAATTCGTGGTTCAGGCTTTGACTTGTTCAGGACATGCGCGACAATCTCAAGCATTGCACAGCGGTCCAAAAAGATGGATGGGGGTGAACATTGAAGGGAATGTGATAGCCAGTTGTGTGAGGTCTTGCCGGTGGAGTGATTCCTAGATTCCTAGATATTCTAAGCATTTCTAAGCCGGCGCATACCATACTGCGTTGAGGGCTTCTAGTGACCGAAGGAGGCAAACCATCTTGGTGTATTCATTAGCCGCTCATTAGCCTCCATCCCCTGCTGAAGATTCAAGAGGAGCTCCAAGCAGAATGGAAGGACAACAACCTTACTATACAAGCTTATAATATATAAAAATAAAACACACAAATTTAAAGAAAAACATATTTAAAGAAAAAAATATATATTTATATACATATATATATTTGTGAGTATATTGAAACTCAGACCAAGGAGATGGCAGTGGCATTGGGCTTGGCTGCTGCGAAGCAATTGTTGCCAGCTGATCGCTCGTTACGGAAGGCACCTCTGGCGGGCACTGAAAAACATCAAGTTTCAATATGATACGATGTCATTCATCGTTCTGTTTTTCTTGCACCTTTCCTGCTACAAAGCTTGGGGCTTCTGAACATCTGGATGGTCATGGTGTCATTGAGCTGTTTTGCACTGCTATGGGAGAGGCTGAAGGAGGTTCATTGCCTTCATAGCTGCCTCCCTGAGCACTTTCCCTCAGGGCGACTGGAGCCCACGAGGCATTCCCTCCTACGGAGATCCAGATCCCATGTTCCAACTGGGCCTAGATGGACAAACGGCTCTAGTGCGACTTGGCCTTGAAACGTGACCTGCTTTTCCAAATGATGATCAGGCACCACTACAATGGCCATCCTTTCAAACATGTCAGCGGAACGCCTGTTCCTTTTGTGGCTAATGACTTGGCTCAGCCAGGCTGGGCTATGGAGAAGTTGGGCGCAGAGTTTCACGTGCAACTTGCTTTAACGAGTGTGGCGACGTGTTGCAACCGTCCACCTTCGTGTGGTGATTCGAGATCCTAGCGGCGATGAACATGCGCGTCATCGCCACGAGAAAGTCGGGGGGCGACCGCCAGCAGCCAGAGCCAGGCTGCGAAGAGTTTTCCTTCCATGAGGATAGTCAATGGAATCCTCATTAGAAGTGAAGTGCACCTTGGATTGCTTCACCAATGAACATTTTGCACTCAAGACGTCGAGACTCATGGGCGGAGACGCACAAGGCAGCAGACAAGCAAACCAGCAATGCTCGCAGGATCTATTGTGGTGCGTGAAGCATCTGCCCTCCACGAGTTGCTCCCGGATGCTCAGAGTCTCGACACGCGTGACGAGTCTGTGTCATTCAGTGCGTGACTAGTCCAGGCAGTCGTTGTGGTGTGGACACGGGATGATGTCAACATATGTCAACCACTGCACAACCAGGAATTGACAGGGCAAGAAACCTTCAGTCCCCGTGTGTTTCCCATCTTCGATCTCTTTGGTCTTTGGCATCCAAAGACCTACAGAAGGCCCTGAGACATCAGACACCTTTCGCCGGTGCTCTGTTCCAATGAGGATGCTCTTCGTTTGTGTTCCCCACGCAGCCGAGACGGAAGGGCTCATCAACACAAAGGAGCTGGCTTTGCTGCCTGACAAAGCGGTCATTGTGAATGTGGGAAGTAGCTCGGCGCTTGGCTTTTGGGTCTAACAAGCTTTGACTCGAGAAGCATTTGACATGAAACACTTAGCCTTTTATTTTTCATACGGTGGAAGAACATGCATGCAATTCCTGAGTTACGTTACCAGATGAATTCTAATATTCCCTTTTCCCGTGTGAGATTGAGGAGCCGATGTCATAAACGAGGAAGCCCTTTATCATGCACTGCAAGATGGTCGCATTATGGGAGTGACGTGGCCATACTGATCACATTTTCGTTATACATCGGACGCTACATTGTTTCGCTTTGAGAAAATCCACCATTTGCTTTCTACAAGGATTGACAAGTGCTTTACATCCAAGACTGTCATTTTGGGTTTTCTTTGGAAAGCAGCACGGGATGTCCAAACTCAGTCCAAATTCCAAAATAAACAATGCCCTTAACAAAACATTTGAGACAACTCACATCGCATTCTGCTTGACGACTTTAAATATGTCTCAATGATGTGGTGTGCACTGTGCCCGGCTGTGCCCTAGGCTGGAGTTGACTGCTGGTACAAGTACCCGCCAGACTTCAAAAGCAGAAACAACACCCCTGTGTCTGAGAAATTCAACTTTGCAGGTGCTGTCAGTGCTGTCAGTGTCCAATGGAATGCGCAGAGAGGTCAGCGCTGTCAACCCATCTGAATGCTTTGCCAGGTCTGGACAACTTGGTGATGTCGCCCCACAGAGCGGGTTCGGTTGGTTGGTAACTCAGACTCAGCATGACTCAGCCATCTCAGTGACCTTTTGGTCAAAACCCTGTGAAGAGATTGGATACATTTGGAGTGACGATTGAGTCAGAGATTGTAATTAAGATCTTTAGAGACATCAAACGAGGATTCTGAGGATCGGAAGAGGACCTCGGCGCCTCCGAGGCCTGCTTGCTACTGAGCGACTTCGCATGGCAGCATTGGCAGAGCTCATTAACACAGCTGTCACCCATGGATTTGACTCCATGCCAAATCGTAGCTTGGACTCGTGCAATCAGGATTCTCCTGAAACCTTGCAAGACCTTGCATTCCTTGGCAATGTGTAAATATCTAAGTGTCTAGATATTATTGTCTATATATATATATATCTGTGTGTGTGTGTGCGTGTGCGCGTGCGTGCATCTAATATAGTAGAACATAATATAGAATATGCCAACAGTCGTATAATTGCTGTGTAATGTATTGCAGCTGACTAGCTTCAACCTTGCGAAGGCAAGCGCAAGGGTGCACAGCAGGTCCATCCTAGTCTGGCACCTGCCCTGATACACATGGTTTCAGATGTAGCTGAATCGAGACTTGAGGCGAACAAATTGGTTCTGTCCTTTTTGCTTGTGTTGCTTGATGCCCATCGCCCAAAACGTAAGGCATTGACGTAGAGAAGGGGTACTGAGCTTGCTGACGCGGATGGTAGGGAGATTGATCAAGTGCTTGAACAAAGAAAACTTTAAATCTCTTTGGGTGCGGTGTAGCTGGGCTGATCCACTCCTAGAGTTCTGGAAAACAGATGTATAGTCTGTGTAGTGATGGCATAGCGGCTTGCTGGATAAAAACAGGGAGACATGGCCGTTGAATTTATCGACTTGCAGATTTGACTGGTGGTCTTAGTTGCACTGGGATGGGAACATGCCCAGGCACCTTTGATCATGGCCTACCTGCTGGTGGCAGAGGCCGTAATTCATGTGGTTTCAGTGCCTGGTCCAAAGATAATGTTGTTCCAGGCCAAGATCCCCATGGGTGATCAAGACGCATACACCTACTCCGGCATCGCCCGGATCCAATGCTTTTCACTGAAGCACAGCTGATCGCCTGGTTCCTTTTCACCTCTACGCCTCAGGCCATGCAGATGGTTGATGAGCTTAATGAGGCACTGCTTTCAAGGGTGAAGCATTTCACAGTGCAGAAGATCTCATCCAACCTTAGCACTGAATGACTGTCAGTTGGTGAAGCCAATCTTAGCTGCTTGGCACTCAGTGTTTGAGCCAACCCTTTTCAATTCATGGAATGTTGATGAGCGTGTGCCCACACACCTTTGGTCCTAACAGCAAAGCCACAGCACATTTTGAAGGAGACTTCAGTGTGGCCCTATCGCGAGGCTGTTTGCTATATTGCATCGGTCGATATTTCTGCACCAAATGGAGCTAACTGCATGATTCCTTGAGTGGCAACGGGGTGGTGGCTCCTGTTTGCTCCACAAGGTTGCTCACTAACTCATGTCTCCAGGCAATAGCGCGACTCCATGCCACTGAAAGTGCCACTTTGGAGGCTGGGCTGTCTCTACTCTACCATGCCTGTCCAGCAGCCATCAAAGGTATCGATCATAATTAGCCCGAATGCAACGAACACACTGCTCGTAACTTTGGGAATGCAGCAGTCACACGATATCACACATACTCAGAAAGACACAGAAGTATTCGGGTATCCTGTTCAGGTCGTTCAGGCTGTGCGTAGCAAGCCACATCTTGTTTCAGTCCCTTTGCTCGCTGATCTTGACTTGAGCGCGGCTGGTGCAATCTGCCCAGGCGCAAAGAACGTATCCGTCCCTGCTTGGTGGACCGCGTGGTGTCGGATGCCTGGTTTCAAGAAAAGGCATTGCCCATTTTCAATCGTGGGGTTCCAAGCATTCAGGGTCATATCCACACAAGCTTTTGGTTTCCTTTTTCTTAGTCACACAAGTCAAGCGATGACATGGAAGGCAATTTCGCTGGAGTTTGCTGTCGTGCATTGCAAAGAGCCCTTGGACTGGGTGGAGGCTCCTTTTGCTGAGTGCACCTCTGCAGAAGCATATGCTACGACCGTATGCCACTAGGAAGGCGAACATGTCGTTTGTCCAGATGTTGGCCAGCCATTCCTGTGCATGTTTGGTAAGGAGGTAAGAAGGGAATCAACCCCCCCCGCCAGTCTGAGCTTGGCGGAACATTGTGGTTCTTTCGCCATCTTTGAGAAGTGTGCCACAGGCAGAGCTTTTGGGCATAACTCCTCCTGGCCGGGCTGCTAGTACTACTATTAGTAGGCTAGTACAACACGGCCTCAATGCCTTAATTACCCCATTGAACCCACTTGATACCCGCGCTGAGAATGAACAATTGTACTTGCCTTGCATTGCTTGCTGCACAAGCAGATTGAGGCTCACAGCTCACGTTTTACGAGAAATGTAGCCTGCCCAGATATTACTGTGTGAGGGCAATGTTGCCATGTCGCATCATCAGTGAGAAAGCTATGGCACCTGACTACTCAACATGACTCAACTTGTGCTTGTCCCATTGTTCAGGTGGGGAGGAGCCAAGATTTTCTGGCACTGCTGACTACTTGAGCATACTTCAGCTCTTTCTGCATGCGAAAACCAATGCCAGGCGCAGTGATGCAGCACTTCGTTGTCTCCACCAGATCCTGCATCTTGTCTTGAGTGTGGGGTCACGCCGTTTGCACTAGTCACTAGACAGTCAGGAGGGGAAATTATTACTTACGCTGGAGCAAGCCAATGGGCTATGTAGTGAAGCCGAGCATCCGAAGTCGCAAGCGGTTCGCCGAATCAGTTTGGGTTATTATGTGGAAAAACCTTGAGTTTTCATGCAGAAGCTTTGCGCGAATTGATTGTGTCCCGTGCACCTTGCAATGGTTGGTATTACCTTGTTTGCTTCGATCAAGTTCGGGGAAGGGTTGGGGACTTGCAAGTGGGTTCACCGAAGTCAGTGCGCATACTCCCCTTTTTGCAGTACCCTGTGAGTCTTACCTTTTGTCTAGGGAGTGCCCCTATACATTTTTATTGATTAATTACTTTAAATATCTTTAAATCACGCACTAATTGCACATCTTCATACACTAGCAAACTAGCAAGACACAACGAGGCCCAGATGTGCATATTGTGTTTAATTACATGGCTAGCTACATGCAATTGCAAGTCCCCGATGTCAAATTTTGTGGTCATAAGTTATGCCGGACTGTTTGCAGTCAAGGCCGGGATCCAGTGGATGGTCCACGAGGTGATGAATGCCTGGGATATTTGCCGGCGCCCACAGAGAGACGCAGCACAGTGCACAGCACCTGATGGCACACAATGGGGTAAACGTTCCGAATGCCTCAGTTACATGCTTGAGATTTGTCAAGACGCGAAACGCGGATGGCCAGGGCACATATTGTCAACAACTACTGGAACCTGGCAACGTTCACTGTCTTCATGCAGGCGTTGTTGCAGCACCGAAGTAGAACTTGTCCCCTTTGGTCCCTTTATGTCCCTTTCATTTTCACATCTTCTCCCAAACTGGTCGTGGCAAGGCTGATCCTCAAGAGCACTTGCACTTTTCGTGCCCCATTTTGTCGCGTGCCTTTCTCAATTATTTCGCAGTCTCGCGGTTCATTCTTGCCAGGTACTTGCACAATGTTGCGAAGATGATATCATCCGCTACTTATGTGCGGTATTTAGTGGAGTCTGAGATGATGAGCCTTTCTACAGATCGGCCACCTGAGGTTGCACAAACCCATTGGAGCCCAAGACCGGCTCTGAATGTAATGAACAATAAACATCATAATGCATCATAATAACCTAAAGAACGCAGGTGATCTGTAGCAACGCACAACGCACTAGAGTAACACCACACATACTTTGCAGGGCTTGGTTCTGAGGCTCTGAGGCTTGTGTGTTGGGGTTTGATAACTGGACTCGAAAGCAGTGACGGTTCATTCGCACTCGCTCCCTGTGAACCTCTGCCTTGTGCCCAGCAGCCCAGCATCACGAACCATTTTGCTTTGCAAGGCATGCTTCGGCATGAGTCCTTTTCCATCCTTTACCCATATTATCATTCTGTGCTGCCTTCCGTACAATATTACCAGACCAGTTCTTTCATCAACTTGACTTGAAGTTCATTGGCTGCTGAAATGCCAGGTTGACATATCCCTTCACTGGTGACATTTGATTACTTAGTCACGGGATGTCACGATTGAACTATGCAGGATGTGCAGCACACAAGCACACGAGTAAGCACACCATAGACCACATGGCACTCCGCCAGGCATATCCATCAGTTGGACTGCATGTGAAAGCACAGTTTCAGAGGTCGTCTCACGCAGCAAGCCTTGAGCTAAGCATGGCATGCAACGGCTTGGTCGGTGGAAATGATGGCCCCGGAGCAGTTTCAGTCACGGCACGGTCAAAGCTTGCAGGACTTGCATGGACCGGAGCAATGCTGCTCATGTCAGCTGGCCATATGCACTGCATTGCTTGACAGAGTTGGGATCTTGCCGCCAGAATGACGCCGACATTTACAGCTGGAATGCAATCCTAAGTGCTTGTGACAAGGCTCAGCACTGGCGCCAAGCAGCTGAGTTGTGTGCAACGGCGATCCGCATATCATTGCAACCTGATGTGGCAAGTTGCAGCGCACTGATTCGTTCCACTGGACGGCGGCGGCTGTGGCAAGAATCTCTTGTATCGGTGACAAGGTTCTTGACGGCAAGACATAAGCTGAACAGAATCGTGTACAATGCAGCACTAAGTTCTACTCTCAAGTGGAGTTTCTGCATCAATGGCTTCGAGCATTCCTCAGTAAAGATCCAGCCTGATGTGATCTCATTCAATGCTGTCATCACCGCATGTGACAGATCAGAGATGTGGTGCATGGCCTTGTTTGTTTTCAGCAGGTGCTGCACCCTGTCAGTGGAGACAAGTTTGGTTTCCCTTGGCGCCTTGCTCTCCACATGTCAAAGCTGCAGCCGCTGGTTCGTTTCAACAAGCCTCATGAATTCACCTAAGGCATTCCGCAGCAATGTCCTGTGCAATTCCATCACGACTTCCTTTTTACACGGGAGCGTTTGGCACCGGGCATTCTGTTTAGTCGATTCACACTTGTGCGAACCAGACCTGGTTTCTGTGAATACCATCATGGCCGGAAGCACCGAAGCCCGGTGGCAGCTTGTCCTGGAGGTTGCTGAGAAATTGACCGCTTGTGCATGCAGAACTTGGGATTCGATCACGTATAATTCTGCTTTAAATTCTTGGCAGAGTAGCTGGGAGGTGGGACTTGATTTGATTGAGGACTTGAGTGCCAAAGGATTGCAGGCAAGCACTTTCACAATCTCAGGAGGGACATCTCTATGTGGAAAGTCTGCGCGGTGGCAAGTTGCCGCTGCCTTACAGAGAAACATCCAGTTGTGGAAGTTGGAGGCGAATGTGCTGACTTGCAATGCAGTGTTGAGTGCAAGCGGTCACCAGTGGTTGAGGGCTCTTGAGGTGCTTTTCGGGTCTTTTGCAGTGGCAATTCCCATGAGCCAGGCGTCTTGTGGATCTGTGATTCAAGCAATCAGCGCTTGCGAGATGGGACGTTGGAGTCGGGCTTTAACCTTTCTCAAGGTTTGCACGTCCAAGCGCTTGGAGCTCTTCGTTTAAGTGATTCAGTACGCTTTGAGTTCATGCTCTCAGATTGGTAGTGTCAACTACTCGATGCCAATGCCTGACACTTGAGTGCATGCGTTTTACTTGCTACGATCATACGAATCTGCACACACCCACCAAATATTAAGGAATCCCTGCCTAAAGGCCCAACCCTTAAACCACCTAAAGTTATGAGTGTTGTCCATTTTGTGATGGTTAGATTGTTGAGGCTGGGCGAAGTCACATCAAACACGTTGCTCAAAGCTCTGGGTACTGGTCATGCATGGCGCTGTGCAAGTACTTTGTTTCGACAGCTTGTTTGCAGAGCTTTGGATCCAGACCCGTTGAGCTTCACTGCTTTCTCCGGCGCTTGCATGGAAGCCACCAAGTGGATGCAGACCTTGGGTATTTTGGGCGAGGCCAGGTGCACCTGCGTCAAATTAGGCTTGCAGCGGGTGACTCTTGTGAATATTGCCATTAATGCCTGCGGGCCGTCACGACTCTGGGAGCTGGCCCTTGGGCTCTTTCTAGATGTCAATGCTGCATCCTTACAAAAAAGCCTGGTAACCCACAATACTGCTGCAAATGCATTGGCAAAGGGAGCACAGTGGCAGAGAGGCATACAGCTCCTCAATTGCGACCTGAGAACCCGGCCGATTCGGACGATCGCCAATGAAATCACCTTCACGGCAGCAATCACTGCATGTGAAAAGGCTGAGGTTGAAACACAAGGGACTATCGCACAGAGCCTTATCGCGCAGCAAAAATAATCAACAATATGTTGCAGAGATGCTTCTTGTTGATTATATAGACGGATGTCGACATGTCAACGCTTTCTGTACATAGGTTGCCTTGTGTTGATCACTTCAGTCCTTTGGCTGCCAGTGCAAGCCCATTAGTTGCTGTTCATTGGGGATTTTTTCGGGTTCCCTACAATCGAATGACTGAACCTGTTGCACAAGCGTTAGCTGTGTCTTGTTAGTGCAGCTCTGATAGCTTCGCAGCTTCAGGCAATACCTTTCCTGAGCTTGAATGGGGCCAGGCCATCAATCTGTATATTGCTTGTCAACTTGTCCACGCTTCTTTGCATGGACCCATGCCCTTGAAAGATGCCGCTTACAGGCATGTTCGGTCGTGGACACCCTGCTTAAATGCAGTGCATGAGGCGACATATTTTTGCTCGGCTTCAAGGATTCTTGAGCATATTATAAACCGTTCCGCCGGTAGAGTGTGTTGACATGTGTTGACCATTGGCTTTGTTTCTTCAGGCAATTTTTGGTGAGCAAATGCGAGATGCGGCCTTGGCCCCAGATGCAGCATGTTCAGAGCGGGTGAAGTGTGAGTGAAATGTCTCATGCGGCTGCGGAGGCCAGACAAGATATGAAAAAAGACATTAAAACATCATGAATTAGAAAGCAGAATAATCACCGGGTGTTCCTGCTTGTAGGATCTTGTAGGTAACCTCATAGTTGAATCTTCTCAACTGATTCCTGACAACTAGCATTATATAGTCTCATTATGTCTCGTTGGTTCATTTACGCTCATATGAGAGAATTTGAGGTTGGACCATATTGCTGTGCGCAGTTTGTTGTCCAGGATGCGAAGGCAGCTTCATAGCTGTCAGAGCTTTGGTGTTGTTACGACGTCCACTTTCTTTCATCATCTGGTTCTTTTTTGTTCATTGCGTGCTTCAGTGACACCGTCCTTCTGTGGCTAGGTTCGCGAACGGCCAGTGGAATTCTACCAGCGAATGCTGAGGCCATTGATGGTTCTGGAAAAGGATCAGCGTAGCTATGCCACTATGCCATGCTCAAGCGTGAAGAGATGAAGTTATGTATATACCACCTCAGCGGGACTGAGGTTGGTGGATGGAACATTGGAGCATGACTTGTGCTTTCCAGGCCAGAGATTTGAGTTCTTTGTGTCACACTACATGATATATGATATAGTGAAGAAACTAACGGAAACACATATTTCAGGGTGACAGGAGAGAAAGTCTTGAAAAGGTCGTAACACCGGTCCTGCCACTGCGCCTAGTCAAAAGGGACATCTCTTTAGCGTCAAGAGATGTCAAGAGATTCGTCAGTGAGGTGACCTTGTTTTCTCACATTTTTTAGCTCTTTAGCTCCTTGTATTGTTTTTGTTTTATTGCTCTTCCATTTTCAATGTGTTTCTTCTCTCTTTTTTTGGGTAGGCCGTGAAGGCGGAGGCAAGAAAGAAGTAGCAAGAGGGAGAAGGCTGAGGAAAGGCAGCATGCAAGCAGATAAAGGTTCTTCAAGGAAGCTTTTGCCCTGCCTCCCTCTTACACAAAATCAGCCTTTTGACCTTTGTTCTTTGATTTCAGTCTTTTTCTGTCTTTGTTCTTCCTTTCACCATTGAATTGGAACATCTCGTGGTTTGGGCGTCATGGAGCACGGGTTACACAAAGAGCTGCCGGTCTGTTCAAGAGGGTTGTTCTCATCACAGAAGCCGGACATCCAATGTTTGATGCCTGCGGCCTGCGCCTTCCAATGACCTTTGTAAGCGAGACAGCAAGCCAGCCAAAAGCTCCTCTCTTCATATCCTAACTCTATCCTCATTTTAAAGATCAGCTTCGTCCTCATCCTCTCTCATCCTTATCCATCCTTCTCCTCACCCATCCTCGTCCATCCTCATCCAGTTGCTCACCGACCCTGAACCACCAGTATATACTGATGTAAAGATGCCCGTGCCTGTCCTCCAGTGAGAATCAGGATCAGGGAAGGGCCACACATTGCTATTTTGTGCATGATGTGTACGTGATCAAGCTTTCGGTTTCGTTTAGCTTTGGTCGACTTGGCTTGGTTTGTTTGCACATTATATACGCATTTGGCCGCTTGCCAGAAGTGTAAAGATGCATCCTAGTATAGAGTTCACTCTATTACGACCTACTTCAAAAAATTTGCAGCCAAGCCAAGTTGTCATCATGCTGTGGCAGGGCGATTTATTTTACATTTCTTCACACTTGACCCGGAAGTGCATGAAGAAAGATCGCTAATAACCGCAAACCACGCAAGTGCTGCAAGCTTTACCGAACGGTGCCAACTTGTTTGGTGGGCGGAAACGCTGGGCTGGGACTGGGGCTGGAAAACGGTTAAATGTGCCATACAGGAACCACAAGGAACCTATAACATATATCGGAAGTTTTGGTGTAGCAGAAACGGACCAAGAAACGAATTGCAACCAGGTTCGAGCAGGCACACATCGGCTCATTTCAACTGGCATGCGTTAGGTAAAGTCAAGCGCTCCACGCATTGCTATGGCATGGAGTCCGGAGCTCCAGACGTATCGGAGTTTGTGGACACTGCGGTGAGGCCTTTTAGATATGTGATGTATATGTAAATGTGATGTGTATATATATATATGTATTGTGATGTGTTTTCAAGTTTTGGGCTTCACCATGGGCAGATTTTGTGCAGCCGTCCACCCCTCCAAGGTTTACCTGGCACTTGGTGTTTGGCGAGGACTACGAGACCCCTCTTCGACAGGACTTGCTGAGCAAACTCCATGCTCCAATAGACAGGTAGAAGAAATATGAAGAAATACCATGAAATACCAATTGCTTGGGCTAGGATGACCAGAGGCTTCCCTTGCCACTTCGACTCAAGTTTGGGAATGAGTTCATCCGGAGGTGCTCCATTGCGTGCAAACTGAAACAGCTTCGCTTTAATGCGAGCGCTCTGTCTAGGCAGTGGAATGATGCCAGGGACCCCGATGCTGGCGAGGGCGTGAGACCGACGATGAAATATGTCTATATACTGTAAGTCTGTCATCACATTTCTTGACTCTCGGGTGGCTTTCCTTTGGAATGTTTGCGGGAAAACCATGGAAAAGCATCAACAGAGCTTCCAATTTTGATCGGACACCTCAATCATTAGATGACAACGCCGTGCATTCAGCTCAGTAGGGATAGTTTGGGAAATACCGCACCATGCGGTACAGGAATGTATTGTTCCCTCTCGCTGCTGTAGGGCAAAGTCTCTCGACGCCCCACCTAAAACTGATGTTTGTTTCACGAAGCTCATGGTATGTTGCATTGGGTCGGGGAGGGGATTGCACAGGAACTCGAAATGTTAGGAGGCAGAAAGAAAGCAATCCCAACAGGCTTCCATGCACACATGACATGTAACAGACTGGAGTCGCCATGCTGAGGTTGTGCTGAATCCCAGCACTCCCAAAAAGATTGTCGAAGAAGTGAATTATGATCAGATGACAGTCAGGTGACATGGGCTGCAGACTCAATTCGAGCTGTCATGCTTCATATGCAGCAATATGCAGCAGCAACTCGTAGAGGGTGGTTGGACCAAGAACATGTCGCACCCTGTCCCTGGCAATTGGGCCCTGAAACATGGCGGAAGCCGGCCCTGAAAAAGAACTTGGAAAGTGCTCGTGAACTCACAGTGGCAGCTTCAGACAAATTCCCAGGAGTCCTGCATATAGGATGCTGCGATGGAGAGCTCAACTTGCTTGACATAGCAGCACGATGTTGCTTCATGCCAGCTTTTTTCCGTTCCCTTTTGGCTCCATGATTAGTAGATCCACCCTAGGCCCTAGGCAGATCGAGCCAGCTCGAAGTAAAGTAAGGCGGTCCTCCCCAGTTCTTGGGACAAACTTTGCCACAAGCGCATACCACCGAGAGTATATGTGTGAGTATCGTGTGTGTGTGTGTGTTAGGTGGCAGACTTGGATGATCTTGGATGTCGCAGAAGGCGTAAAGCTTCAAACCTGCACCGACTTTACATTTGGTTATTTCTTTTGTTTCCATGCAACTCCAAGACGACTTTGTGTTTGGAGCAGGTGGTGGTTGCGTCAGGATATTTTGACCCCCTGCACTACGGCCACATCGAGTATCTCGAAAGATCACGGGAGCCAGTCTTCAGCAGTTTGTCCGCTTTGCTTCGCTAGAATGTTTAATTCTTACGGTGTCAAATTGGGTCCGCTCAAGCTACTTTGCAGGACTTGGGCGACAAGCTCCTGGTGATTGTAAACAATGACATTCAGGCATGGTGCAGATTCTATGCTTCTGAGCAGCTCTGTGAAAGGAAGTGTCTCATGACTTGCCGACTAAACAGGCGGCAGACAAGAAAGGTCAGCCATTTATGCTCGTGGCCTAGCAGCTCCATCCTTTCCTCTGAATGAAGGCATAGAATCATCTTGACATATTTTTACATGAGGCTTGCTTCCATGGAAGTCAGTACGGGGATCATGTAGAAAGAATGTGTATTTATGTCGTGTATCTTACTAAATGTTCATATGTACATAGACTGTAACATACATATATACACACATGCGCATACATAAAAAGAGTCCAGAAATTGACAGAAGAGGACGGTTGACACTGTGGGGAAGGCATGGGCTTGGGTCCTTTCACATGTTTAATTCATCATTACTCAGGCCTGCTCGTGAGCGAGTCAAATTGGTACGCTCCCTTGCTTGTGTTGATGCAGCCATCGAGGCAATTGACAAGGCTCAGAATAGATCATTTGATCATTTGGAGATACTTGTTCTCTCTATTTCTACCTACATGTATGCACATACAATTTAATATACATATATATATAATTTCATCCATTTTCGCCGCTAAATCATGTGTTCTAGGACCAGACTGTCCGACGAACCCTGAGAATATTACACCCAGATGCTTGGCAAGAACGGGAAGAGTTACCGCCTTCCTTGTTGTCTCACACAGGGTCCTAAAGCTCGAGTGTACAGGGTGGCCCCATGCAACTTGAACTTAGACAAGAAAATAGCATGCTCGATAGGCATGTCCTTATGCACAGCTGTGCTGACTGTTTGCTGCAATGCTCCTCTGCAAGGATGTATTCACAAACGGCAGTTTTCTCAGCCTTCGGGTGCCTATATTTGTTGATTCTTGCAACTGAACGCTGGTGAGACATGGTTGCCGTGCTCGCCAATTGCGCCTAGAGGCGGAGACATCAAAAACGAAGATGTACCAGAGGCTTGGCAGATATGATAGTTTTGCTGCATGTACGCATGACGGATTCTAGTTGGGTGTGGGTAGGTGTGTTCATGCGCGAGTGTTCCCGTCAATCCCCACATATATGGTTTCCTTTTCCAGGCCGATATTTGCCGTGAGCTCGGCATCAAGCTCGTCGATGGCCTTGGAGAGAAAGTTCAATCATCGACAGGGCCCTGGTGATGCTGGACAAACTTGGACATGTCAATCAAAATTAATGCAGCCGAGCACTCCGGGTCTTTGCGAGAGCATCATTGCAGTGAAACGACAGTTCAATGGTTCTGAGCTTTGGTCGTTTTAGGTCCTGGCTGATCAGCAAAATAACGAACTCAACTCAAAGTCCAATCCGGCCTGTTTTTCGAAGCTCTTGGGTGCAATTGACCCTTTGGAATGCTGACATGCACTAACAGTTTCTGTCACAGCTGGTTCGGGTGTAATACACTGTATTGTTTTGGTTGTCACTGGCTTTTGAAGAAAGACGTTCTTTTGCGATGGCATTGGCATGGTTTCCACCCCTTTCTCGTGCAAGATCGGGGGACGCTGCCGTTTCAAAAAGGCTCAAGTAGAAATTCGAACATTTGCCCGAAATAGGTCCCAGGCTGTTGCGATGCCTGAAGAGGCCAAGGGCAAGAAAGAAGGGGAAACCAAAGATGTTGAGATGAAGGACGCCACAGAGGAAGAAAAAAAGGACACCAAGAAGGAAAAGGAGGAACCTCCAAAGAGCCCCAGGACTGCTCAGCATCATTCCAAACACTATTGAGTTACTCAGTGTTTCTTTCGTTGTTTGCTCAGTTCCTTGCTTAGGACCATTCTCCTTGAAGCGATCGCCCAGAACTTGAAGACCATCGCAACGGGCGTCACAGCAGGAGACCCTCGTGTCATGGGTCGTGTGCTCCGATCCTTCGCTCAGCTTCGTCGGACCATGGAGCCAGAGGTGCTGAAGGCCTTGCTGGAGGAGCGAAGCGAAGCGTTTCACACGGTGAAAACAGTCAAGCAAGAGGTGATCGATCTCAGAAATGTTTCATCAATGTTTTGAATGTTGTTGGGCTATTAATTGCCTGGAATGCAGTTTATATATTGATTATTTGTTCTGTGTGGTGCGACGGTTAAGAGGAGATGAGCGGCAGGGAATGCACGGACTGTTTAAAGATGTAAACGCAGATTGAAGGTTCAAGTATTTGCTTGGAAGGAGTTTGTTGATCCAGCGCGCCCCAACAAAGCGCAATTCATTGCAGCAGTGCCCCCAGCTGACGTGGAGATGGCAGATGCCAAGGAGGCTGGCACTTTTTGTTTTCTCTATATAGTTGTTTGTACTTCTTGTTTGCTAACATTGTCTGAAACAGCCACTGCCCAACGAGGAAAAGCCCAAAGAGGTTGAGATCAAGTTTCCGCAGCTTAGCAAACCCTATGCACCTGAACTTGAAGCATATGCTGTGCTGAGCCTAGTGGTAAAGCTCTCAGACAAGAGTGAGAAAGAGAAGTCCTTGGAGACAGCAAGCGCTTTGGTCTTGTTCCTGAAGACCCTCAACAGACGCACCATGGATTTCTTCAATGCCCGAGCATACTTCTACCTTTCTCTGGCGTATGAGCGCTGCGGCCGTTTGTCAGAGATCCGACCTGAGCTACTTGCAGCCTATCGCAGTGCATGCCTTCGTCATGATCAAATGGGCCAGGCCACTCTACTGAATCTTCTCCTGCGGAACTACCTGGCCTACAACTTGTACGATCAAGCCTTGAAGCTGGTCTCCAAGACCAGCTTTCCCGAAAGTCGGCCGAACATGCAGTATGCCCGCTACTTGTTCTACATCGGGCAGATCAAGGCCGTCCAGCTCGAATACTCGGACTCCCATTCCAAGCTCATGCAGGCAATTCGCAAGGCTCCACAGACCCCCAGTGTGGCCCTTGGCTTCAAGCTGGCGGCCAGCAAGCTTGCTATTGTAGTCGAGCTACTGATGGGAGGCATTCCAGAGCGCTCATTTTTTATGCAGAAGGAGCTCAAAGAGCCACTCCGACCATACTATGCTATCACACAGGCAGTGCGTTCGGGTGATTTGCATGCCTTCAAAGAGTGCACCAAAACATATGAGGCCTTGTTCAAAAAGGACAAGACACTGACTTTGATCAATCGGCTGCGCTACAATGTCATCAAGACTGGCCTTCGAAGCATCAGCCTGGCCTACAGCAAGATCTCCTTGCAGGACATTTGCACAAAACTTGGCCTAGAATCTCCGCAGGATGCTGCTGGAGTCGTTGCCAAAGCCGTCGTGGATGGTGTCATTGATGCTACCATCGATTATGACCAGCAGTTTGTAAAGTCCAACCAGAAGCTAGACTTGTATCACTCATGCGAGCCGCAGAAAGCCCTTCACAAGCGTATTGCCTTTTGCTTGCAGATGCACAATGACGCCGTCAAGGCAATGGCTTACCCAGATGAGAATGACAACAAAGATGCCGAAGATCCCGAAGAAAAGCGAGAAAGAGAAAAGCGTGAGCTGGCCAACATTGAGGAAGAAGATGGTGGCGATGACGACATGATCATTTGAGGGGTGCACATATTTTGGGCTGTTGGTAGGGCTAAACAGGCCCCCTCACATTCTTGGGTGAAAAGATTACCCCAAGGCAGTGCACAAGGCGCACGTGTTGCTTTGCAATCTTTGTGCAGGCAAGGGTGCTTTGCTAGGTTTCAGACAGGACGGATGTTTCTGTGGAAGTGAGGCAGTGATAGACACCAGCAGGCGTGCAGGAAAACAAAGTCCACACGCTTGAACACATGCATGTGTCACAAGACAGTGTTTCAGGGTTGATACTTTTGGATTGAGCGTAGGAGAGGCTGTTTTGAGCGAGATTATGGGTGAAACATTGAACATTCATGCTCACAACGAAAGCACACCAGACTGTTGGTTGCAGAGCCAGGTGAGCCATGCAGGCTGGATCCTGCCTAAGCTGAATGCATGCTGAACATTTCCTGGAGCAGAAGCTTGAGCGCAAAATGGTGCCACGGCCTCGCTCATGTTTCTTGTCTCCACGGTTTCCTGTTGTTTTCCTATGTTTTCCTTGCTGCGATTGTGAGTTATGAGTTTACTGTTTACTGTAACAACTATCAGATCTCTTGTTTGCTTCCCTAGTTTTAGGATGTTTCAAGTCTGTGAAACTAGCCGCAGAAGGCGCTACCAAGAGTGACTTTTGCTTGATTGATCTCACCCGTGTTGCAATTCGCACAAGCTCACGACGGTTGGCATCAAGAAAAGGCAACTTCTCAATCTGAATAGCGCGGAGTGTTGAACCAGATGGAGTTCCAGCATTCACTGTCTTCGCTTTGTACCTTTTCATGAATATATAATTGAGTTGCTACTAAAGCTTTCAACAAATCAATGAGGGAGGTCCTGTGCATCGACGTTGGCATGATGAAACACAAGGCCGCTAATGTGAACCATTGAAAGATTTCAGACATTTTTGCTCAGACCTTTTCCAGAGCACGTTGTTCTTGCCAGTCGCCGCCCGAGTT